TCCCGAAATCGTGTTCTCCAAAGTATTTATATGAAATCGTCCTCTCCAAAGTCTCTGTCTTGGTAAGATTTCTCTGATTCCTTGTTTAATTTGTGTACAGAATTGGGAATTGAAGCAATCAAAATTAGGGTTTTGATTAGGGTTGTTGCATGTGAAAACAATTGGGGATTTTTTGAAATTAGGGTTGTCTGGTTGAAATTGTGTGATTTGGATTCAGATTATACTAATTTTCGTCTCTTGATCTACAGGAATCTGTTAGTTTGTCAGAGGATATATCTGCTTGTTCCAAGAGTGTTATTGAACTGAAAAAGTTTCAGCTGTTGAATCTTCAACGGCGCTTGATGAGGTACTGATGTTGAAGCAGTGAGTTTCTTTACAACTTCTTCAAGCCTATTGCGACTGATGTTGAGAATCTAAAGTCATATAAGAAACATAAGCATGGTCGGAGAGGCAGAAGAAGTTCTTTGGGGAGATAGAAGTTCACAGTTGAAGACGAAGATGAGAGTGACTAGGCAAAGGCAAGTAATATTTTTTCTTTGTGTGTTCTTCCATCTGTTTCTGATGTGGTTACAATCTTTAGGAATTGAAATGTATTCTGAGTATTTTCACATTGCAGGCTTTAGGAAGAGGTAGAAGAATGTGAAGTGATGAGGTATGTAATGATAAATTTACATTTCGTCCTTGTACAAGTTTGTTAATTTATTCAGTCTTCTACTCTTAATGGAAATCATTTTGTCCTTGTACAATAATGCTATTATTGAATGCTTACTGTTTATTGTCTTTGTGATCAATGCTGGCTAGTGTTAGCTTAGACAGAGAGTTGTTGGTCATTTATTGCTAAAACAGAACTCAGAGCTTGTTATGTAACGCTTGAACACTAAAAACTTGCACCTCTCTGTCTTTGTGATCAATGTTGTTTAGATTAGACATATACTTGTATTCATTGATTGCTAAAAAATTAATAAAAATTATTAAAACTTTTAATGTTGAAAACAGTAACCAAAACACACTTGAACCTCTGCTTATATATTGAACTCTTAATCAGTAGCCTAACACAGTCCAAAACCTTTCATTTTGCTCATTCCCTGTTCTTTTTAACATCCACCATCATAACCTTTCA